GAACTAACATGGATTTTGTTAAAAATCATTATTAATGTCTTTGGCTGAAAAGCAAACTCTCAACGAACAAGAGGCTCAGGTCACTGAATACTAGTTCAATACTGCCCTCTAGTGATCACTGACCCAGGGCTGAATGACCAAAGCGCAGCAGCATTCCAGGCCGTAGACATCTAAGGTGGAATAACAACAATATTCCAATAAATAGTGGGGTACGGCTAGTCTATAGATCAGACTAGCAGCAGCAGCACAGTGTTCGAGCCCCACTCTTGCTGAAATACCCTCAGCCATCGCTTCTACACTCCACTTGGGAGTTTTACAAAATAATCAAAAAAAAAATCTACAAAATAATCACAAAGAACTAGTCTCTGGGCAGAAAACTGAAGAAGAAAATTCAAATGGATGTAGAAGTTTCTGAGCTGGAAGTTCCATGCAAGTGAAAATAAATCAGAAGGAATTGTAACAATAGCCTCCAAAGTGACACATATAGGAGTCAGAGATATTGTGACTGAAACAGGAGCTGCTTAAAATCAAAGAGGAGCCTCTTGCTTGTGCTTCTGCTAAGTCCAGATCACACATCACACTGCCCTCCTCCGTTAGCCTCTCACTGTAGACATTTCTAATCAATCTGTTCAGAAATGTTATGACACATCTCTGGGGCTTTGAATTTCTGCCTCCTAGCTCAGATATAGGGACACTACCACTGTGCCACAAGATCTCTCATTCAAGCTCCACTACATGATGTGCCGAAGGCTCTACGACCTCTCTCCTTTACATATCAACTCCCTCGCACCTCTCTTTCAGCTACCATGCCCCTGTCTCCAACATAAACCGAATGTAACAGAATCAGGAATGGCCAGGAGAAAAAAAGTACTCAGCAGGGCTGGCGGCATCTGTGGAGAAGAAGCTGGTTAATGTGTTCGGAAGAAAGGTCACTGGACCCAAAACGTTAACTCAGCTCTCTCTCCACCAGACCCGCTGAGATTTTCCAGCGATTTCTGCCAATGTTATTGATTTCCAGCATCTACAGTTACTCTGTTTTCAGCCAATTTATCAACTCCCTACCCTAATTCACAAATGACCGCCCACGCCTGCTCCAACTTTGACACACACACAGGGCAGAGAAGGCAGGCATACATATTGTGGCACAGTGTTTAGCACTGCTGCCTCACAGCGCCAGGGACCCACCCTCCGGTGACTGTCTGTGTAGAGTTTGCACATTCTCCCTGTATCTGTGTGGGTTTCCTCCAACACTCCAAAGATGTGCAGGTTAGGGTGGATTGGCCATGCTTAAATTGCCCATAGTGTTCAGGGATGCACAGGCGAGGTGGGTTAGCCATGGGAAACACTGGGTTACAGGGATAGGGTGGGGGGGTTGGGTCTGAGTGGGATGCTGCTCGGAGGGTCGGTGCAGACATGATGGGCTGAATGGCCTGCTTCCACACTGCAGGGATTCTGTAAAAAAAAAGTTGAGAAGCCTGTGTGGAGTACAAACGCTGGCAGAGAAATGTTGAGTGAACCACTTGTTTCTCTACAATTTTTTCCAGACCACTTTCCAGTCCATTATCTTAGGCAGACAGCCAATTCCGAACCATTGCCAGTGACTCAACTGAAAAGAACTTTATCCTCCAACCCTTTGCCCTCGCTATTTCTCTCCCACCTCTCCAACCAACTGCTTAGTCATCTCTCCAAACCCCTATTGCTCACCATTGAATTTTCTGCTGTGTTTAAATGTGTCATGGGCTGACATTTCAAAAGCATTTAGCACAGCAGGGTGTAATAACTGAACCAGGCACTGATGACTGCAGATTGGGCACCATCAGTTGTATCGATCGAAGAAGTTGGAATTGTTTCCCCTTACAGCACAAGAGTAGTGTAGTGACATTGTCATTGAAGTAGTAACAGAAGCCCAAGCTAATTTTGAGACCGTCGGTTCAAATCCCACTACAACCATTGGTGTAATTTGGAATGGAGGACGGGCTCAATGAGCCAAACAGCCTACTCCTGATCCCATTTCTTTGGTTTTACGATGGTCAAATTAATCAGAGAACTATTACAGCACAGGAGGAGGCCATTTGGCCCATCATCAAAGGAGCATCTTTACCGAGTGCCAATCTCCTGCTTTCTCCCCCATACCTATGCACATTAGTTCTATCCAAATAACCATCCAATGCCCTCCAGAATGCCTCAATTGAACCTACTTCCAGGCACCACATTCCACACCCAAACGACTCATTGAGAGAAAAATATTTTCCTTTACCTCCCCTTGCGTCTTTTGCAGATCGCTTTAAATCTAAATTACAATCCAGAGTTGAAAACTAGCCTTAGTATCGGTGACCATGACACTATCAATTGTCAGAAAAACCCATCCAGTTCACTAACGTCCTTTCAGGAAGGAAACCGTACCTAGTCTGATCTACTTGTGACTCCAACTCAAGGTGACTCTTAGATAACTTCTGAAATGGCCTAGCAAGTCATTTACTTCAAGAGTAATTAGGAAAGAGCAACAAATGTTCCCCTAGTTAATGACGCCCACATGACCCCATGAAATGAAAAATAAAATGCACCAGAAAATTTTACAGACACTTTTTTTTTATTCATTCATGGGATGAGGGCATCACTGGCTAGGCTAGCATTTATTGCCCATCCCTAATTGTCCAGAGGCAGTTGAGCGTCAACCATGTTGCTGTGGGTCTGGAGTCACATGTAGGCCAGACCAGGTAAGGATGGCAGTTTACTTCCCTAAAGGACATTAGTGAACATTCACAATAATAATGAATGACCTCCAGTTACCAACACTGCTGCCAGTGGAAACAGTTCTTCCTTATTTGCGCTACTAAAGCATTTCATTATTCTGAACCCCCCTGTTGAGTCTACCTTCACCTTCTCTGCTCCAAGGTAAATGATGCCAGCTTCTCCTGTCTTGATGCCTAATCTATTCCTTGCCATCTCTCCAAAAATCTGATCCAGAGAACGGAACATATTACTCTGACTGAAGCGTAACCAGAAACTTGTAAAAAAATTTCTGCACAAATTTCCAAACTCTGACTGAACTCAATATTTCTATGTTTCAAGCTGAGGGAACCAGAGTGCCTGTTCAAAACATTTATGATGGGCATTTACATGTTTTCTATTCAAAAAATTACATAACAGGGTCAAACAGCTTCAGAAGAAATATATAATCAGTTAAGTATTGAGTGAAACTATCAGCTTGTTTTTTTTAATCTACACAGATCTCAATGTATCCACAGTGCACTTTCAGCAATCACAGATTCCCTCCAGTGTGGGAGCAGGCCATTCAGCCCATCGAGTCCACACCAACCCTCCAAAGAGCATCCCACCCAGACTCATCCCCTTATCCTATTCCTGTAACCCTGCATTTCCCATGGCTATCCCACATAGCCCGCACATTCTTGGATACTAGGGACAATATAGCATGGCCAGTCCACCTAACGTGCACATCTTTAGACTGAGGGAGGAAACCCATGCAGACACAGGAAGAATGTGCAAACTCCACACAGTCGCCACCACCCAGACCTGCGTCAGCATCCCTCCTAATGAGCACTCGTGTCAATGCAGTGTGCAAACACTCTATCAGCTCACCTTCTACATACCCGACAATATGTTTGTATTTCAATAGTGTAGGAGGCTCATTGGATAGAATGAAAGAATGATTATTTATTGGCGCATATATCTTGAAGATACAGTGAAAAGTGTTTTGTCGCCACAAACCGGGGCCATTTTGAGGTACTATGAGGATAAAAAGAAATTATTGAAGTAACAGTTTATCTTCTGTTCAAATTGGGTTCTCAAGCGTGGCTTCAAGGCTCAAGGTCTCTGAAAGGTGTTCCGGAATTCAAAGGGTCCCCACCAAGGGTCCAGGCTCCAGGCCTACCGCCGTCGAGAGTCCAGGCTCCGGGCCTACCGCCGTTGAGGGTCCAGGCTTCAGGCCTAACGCCACCAGGAGTCCAGGCTCCGGGCCTACCGCCGTTGAGGGTCCAGGCTTTGGGCCTACCACTGTCCAGGGTCCAGGCTTCGGGCCTACTGCCACCAACAGTCCAGGCTCTGGGCCTACCGCCACCAACAGTCCAGGCTCCGGGCCTACCGCCACCAGGAGTCCAGGCTCCGGGCCTACTGCCGTCAAGAGTCCAGATTCTGGGCCTACTGCTGTCAAGAATCCAGGCTCCAGGCCTACTACCATCGAGAGTCCAGATTCCAGGCCTACTGCCATTGAGAGTCCAGTGCAGCCTTTTTGAAGGCATTTTTACAACCAACCAAAAGGTTGTGTCATTAAAGTGGGGAGCTAGTTTGTCCCTCCTCATCCCAGAAATTAACATCTGGATGCTGTGGATCGGGGAACCTCACCTGGAATCTGATTACAATGCCCATGTCAGCGGGAATTCCTAGCGGAACACATGCCACGGGGTGAATGACCCTTAACCCGGGAATATGGCTCCAGAGTTGGTGCAAGTGCAAAGCAGCAGACTGAACTCCTCACACAAATAACCCTCAACTCTACGGGCCTCCACTTTTAGGTGATCTGGAAACTGTCAGATGATCAGAAACTGTACAGCGGTCATGCGGACATGGGTCACATGATTAAACTTCCAGGAACACATCCAACCGGAGTGTCAAACCCTACCCTGGTAAATCACTGCCACAGAAAAAGTTTAGTTCATTGAAAATGCAAGAGATTTGCCAAAACATATCAGAATAGTTTGAGGGACTAAGATGGAACATTCACCCCTGGAAACTTGCTGAGCGGCTGTTTCAGAACAACTTAATGCAGGGAACGAGCACAAATTAAAAACTCTCCAGGATACTTGATTATATTGGTGCTGGCAACTTAATTAATGAATGGTAATTCAAAAAGACAAACATTACGTAGTCTACAGACTTAAGTCTTGACACTGTAAATAAATTGTTTCTTTTAGGAACTTAAGGCTGAGAAAAGCATCGACACGGAACTAAAAAAGAAACCAAAAAACAACTTAATGTTTTACCTTTGTATGCGTCCCTCGTTTCTTCCTGATGTGACGGGCCTGGTCAACAGATGGGATACAAGGTGGCACAGGATGTAGGAAACGGGAATGAACAGAGGAATGCAGTTGTTAATGAAAAATTCACCGTTTCTGAAGGGATCACTCTTGTCTAACAACAGAGAACACGCACCGAAGCTACTCTGGAATCTGAATAAATAATTGCAAATAAATCGCAGCCAGGGTCAAACTGGCACATCTCAGCAACACTATGACTACTTGGGAGAAGGCCGTCTCCATAGCTAAATGGAGCCAGGCCCTTCTACGAGGCTCAGATACATTTCCATATCACATTTTGTCTGATTGCACTCAAGTGACGCGCCTTGAGATGTTTTACAATGTTAAAGACGCATTATAAATGCACATCAGCAAACACGGATTCCCTGAGTTAAATCTACATCTTGAAGCTTACTGGGTTCACATTTCCACAAGCCTTAATGAAAATGAAGGTTTATTTAGCAATTGCGCACTATTAGTCTTGCATAAATAAAAAGCTTTCCAAACAATCTCATTCAGCCCACTTATGCCAGTCATGTGGCTTTCTGTATTGGTTCAGGTTTTTTCTAATTAGACAGACCTTGTTGGTGTGATTCCCTTTTTGTTAATTACACTGCTGTCATTTTCTGTTCTGCTGTGTTTTTTTAATGCTGGGATTTAACAGCAGGATGTCAAGCGATTATGCTGCCAGCAACAATACATGGTTATGCAGCTAATTTTTTTGGACGGGCAAATCCAGTGCAAATTAACCTCCGGGATCTCAAAACATGCCACCACCATCCTGTAATCTGCCAAGTGCCACTCAGAAAACCTGCTGCAATCCCAATCTCCTCAGGAACACGGAAGATAATCATCTCCCCTCAGCGGGAACAGGAGAGTAAACACCCTCAGTAAATCGACAGGAGGGTCCAACTGGCACTCAGTGTCGTAACAGAGATTGGGCTTTATTTTAATTAAGGTTCATATTAACTTTAGGCTGCAGTTCCCCCGCAGGTACTGGGCCTGTACAGTTAAGATGTTCAATTGGCAGACTCATGCTAGTTTTACTGACTATGCGCTGCCTCCAAACTAATGGTCCTCAGCCCATACACACAACATTTTATTAAAAACAAAGGGCAAAGTGGTGGCAAATTCAATGATTAGAAAGAACCTTTTAAAAAGCACACTACCTGGAGGGACATTGAACCTAATATGAAGCCCAGCCAACTTCAAGATCACCTACTTCTCCTTAAGGCACTCGGAAGTTTTTATTCATTTCTTGGACATGGGCATTGCTGGCTAGGCCAACATTTATTGCCCACCTCTAATCGCCCTTGAGAAGGTGGCGGTGAGTTATTTACTTGAGCTGCTCCAGTCCATGTGGTGTAGGTACATCCACAGTGCTGTCAGGGAAGGCATTCTAGGGTTTTGCCCCAGCGGCACGGAAGGAATGGTGATATATTTCCAAGTCGGGACGGTGAGTGGCTTGGAGGGAAACTTGCAGCGTGTGGTGTTCCCATGTATCCGCTGTGTGGAAGAGGTTGTGAGATTGTAAGGTGTTTCTGGAGAGTTATTGCAGTCCATCTCTTGAAGGGGTCACACTGATACTGCTTTGTGTCAGTGTTGAAGGGACTGAATATGGAAGGTTGTGGACAGCTTATTTGTTTGAACTAAGCTACACTGTCAATTGTGCATTCAAGCGCACCCAGATACTATCTGATCTGAATGCTAAAGCAGCATGATAACATCAAAGCTGGCTTCAATTATAAAAATTTTACAACATGGAGGCAGGCCATTCAGCCCATCTTATCTACAGTGGCTGTCAAGGAGATATCCAGCCTAATCTCACTTTCTGGTTCCTGGACTGTAGCCTGTAGGTTATGGTATTTCAAATGTACGTCATAGCATTTAAAATATGATGAGTGTTTCTGTCTCTCCCTACCTTTCACACGGTGAGTTCCAGACCTCCATCACCCTCTCAGTGAGAATAAAAATCCCCTTACTCTTCTTGGTTATAGATCCCATTAAGGATGGGGAGTATCGCCAAGCAGGTACTGTCACAGAGAAACTGGACAATAATAGTTCAACTCACAGCAATCGGGGTGACTGAGGGAGTCAGAGCTGCCAATATGCACCAATACCAGATCACTGATAGACCAGCAGCAATGAATTCAATAGAAAAACCTCAGATGAGAAGCCCAGTGCACAGTTACTGTAGCAAATCCGATTAAAATCCACTGGATTTCGACGATCGTCTTTACTGCCAGTCAGTTGCACCAACACCTCACATGTAAAACCCCCAACTCAGTAAATTCACACACCATTTATATTCCTTCAGCAAATTCAATGAGTTCCTGGGGAGAGTTTATGGCCAATAGCAAATGGGAGCTTCTTGCTACAACCTGTCACTAGTCAGGCTCGATAATGGTACCCAATATTACTCTGGAATATCAGTCAGGAAAAGCAACATTGACTTGGACAGACTGGCTGAGGGGGGCAAACACTTGGCAAATGCAATATAATGTGGATAAATGGGAGGTTATCCACTTTGGTCACAGAAACAGGAAGGCAGATTATTACCTGAATGGTGGTGGTTTAGGAAAAGGTGAAGTGTAATGAGACCTGGGTGTCATGGTGGAACAGTCGCTGAAGGTTGGCATGTAGGCAGCAGGCAGTGAGGAAAGCTAATGGCATGCTGGCCTTCATAATGAGAGGATGACAGTATCAGAGTAAGGATGTCATGCTGCAGTTATACAGGGCCTTAGTGAGGCCATACCTTGAGTATTGTGTGCAGTTTTGGTCTGAAGAAGGACATTCTTGCTATTGAGGTAATCCAGCAAAGGTTCACCAGACTGATTCCCGAGATGGCAGGACTGATATATGAGGAAAGACTGGATCGACTGGGCTTGTATTCGCTGGAATTTAGAAGAATGAGGAGGGTTCTCATAGAAACATATAAAATTCTGATGGGACTGGACAGACTGGATGCAGGACGAATGTTCCCAGTGTTGGGCAAATCCAGAACAAGGTGTCACAGTCTAAGAATAAGGGGTAAGCCATTCAGGGCTGAGATGAGGAAGACTTTCTTCCCTCAGAAAGTTGTGAACCTGTGGAATTCTCTCCCACAGGAAGCTGTTGGGGCCAGTTCATTAGATATATTCAAGGGGGAGCTGGACGTGGCCCTTGCGGTTAAAGGGATCAAGGGGGATGGGGAGAGAGCGGGAATGGGATACTGAGATTGCACGATCATCTTGAACGGTGGTGCAGGCTCGAAGGGCAGAATGGCCTACCCCTGCTCCTAATTTCTATGTTTCTGTGATACAGTGTCCGGAGTTGGACTTAAGCCTATAACTTTCTAAAAAAATATAAATTCAGATGTGAAGGCAACCTGGAACACAAAGTATTAGAGAACACTTCGCAAATTAATGGATGCACATTACTCCAGTCTTCCCCACAGGCCAGGCCAACATTTATATCATATCCTTAGTTGCCCTTGAGAAGGTGGTGGTGAGTTGCCTTCATGCCATCCATGTGCTGTAGGTACACCCACAATTCCACGAGGGAGGGAATTCCTAGATTCTGACCCAGTGAGACCAAAGGAACTGCAATATATTTCCAAGTCAGGATAGTGAGTGGCTTGGAGGAGAACTTGCATTGTTGGTGTTCCCATGGCTTTGTCCTTCTAGATGCGGTGACTGTGTGTTTGGAAAGTACAGGCAGGAACCTTGGTAAATTTCTGCAGCACATCTTGTAGTTCGTACACAGTATTGCTACTGAGCATCGGTGGTGGAGGGAAAGGATGCTATTTGACACATGCAAATATGAATGCAATATGAATTCTCAGTTTACCTAAAAACCACACCTCTCACTGTATTGAACATCCATTGTTAACACCTAATGACACATGAAAAAGCAGGGATAAACATGCAGCAGGAAAGAATGAAAACTTAACTCACATTTCTTCTGCCATCCCTCGGTTTGTTGGCAAGTTTTACCTCCAGGATAATCTCGCCCATGTACTCCTCCAAGCTGTTTGGGTCATCGAGCTGCAATTCCTTCAGGACGGTGCTAAGAGAAGGGAGCAGACCCATGCTGTTAAAAAGTGTCTTCAAATCATAATCACAAACTTTGAACTATAGAGGATAGAAACCAGATTTTCATGCAGTCAATCCAACTCTAGAGACCTTGAAGGTGGAGTCTCAGGTAGATAGGATAGTGAAGAAGGTGTTTGGTATGGTTGCCTTTATTGGTCAGTGCACTGAGTATAGGAGTTGGGAAGTCATGTTGCAACTGTACAGGACATTGGTGAGGCCACTTTTGGCATGTTGTATTCAATTCTAGTCTCCCTGCTTCAGCAAAGATGTTGTTAAATTTGTGTTCCAGGCTGCCTTCACATCTGGTTTATGCTTTTTAGAAGGTTTTAGGCTGAAGTCCAATTCCAGACACAAGGACGTTGCCGGGATTTAAGGGTTTGAGCTATAGGGAGAGGCGGAATGGTCTGGGGTTATTTTCCCCGGAGCGTCAGAAGCAGAGGGGTTACCTTATAGAAATTTATAAAATCCTGAGGGGCATGGATTGGGTGAATAGCCAAGGCCATTTCCCCAGGGTAGGGAAGTCCAAAACTAGAGGCACAAGTTTAAGGTGTGAGGGAGAAGATTTAAAAGGGACCTGAGGGGCAACTTTACACACAGAAGGTGGGTGCATGTATGGAATGAACTGCCAGAGGAAGTGGTGGAGGCTGGGATAATTACAACATTTACAAGGCATCTGGATCAGTATATGAATAGAAACGGTTTAGAGGGATATGGGCCAAATGCTGGCAAATGGGACTAGATTTAGGATATCTGGTCGGCATGGATGAGTTGGACCAAAGGGTCTGCTTCCATGTTGTACAATTCTATGTCGTTTAAATATTGAGGGTTCAACCCTGATGTGGAAGTCCCTTTCCCACTTCCAGCTGATTCCATTGTTGTCAGTTGTGGATAAATTAGGAATCCCAAACTCAGCAGTGCCATTTGTGATGAGTGCTGAGTTCACACAGACCCCATATCTTCTGGTGCAAACACCTCAAACCATCCATGATTTTACAGAGACGCATAAAAGATCCTGAAAGGAAGGTAAGATTTGTTTAACATTCATGATCTGCACGAATTTGAATCCTTTACAGAAGAAAATAAAAACAGGCTGCAGCTGTCAATGGGAATAAAAAGAAAGCAGACCCACTGCTGGATTCAATTGATTCAAAGCCCATGTAATATAGGCCAGAGCGAAAAAAAATCACCATCTGCTTCTGCAGTTTTAATACAGCTCATGGCTGATATTTCCGAAGGGTCGTTCACAGAATCCCCACAGTGTGGAAACAGGCCATTCAGCCCAACAAATCCACACACAGTCTTTGGAGACTCTCTTTCAACTCTCCAAAGAGCATCCCACCCAGATTTATCCCCCTACCCTCTCCCTGTAACCCTGTGTTTCCCATGGTTAATGCACCTAGCTACACATCCCTGAACACTATGGGGCAATTTAGCATGGCCAATCCACCAAACCTATCCATCTTTGGGTTGTGGGAGGAAACTGGAGCACCCAGAGGAAACCCACACAGACACAGGAAGGATGTGCAAATTCCACACAGACAGTGACCCAAGGCTGGAATCAAACCCAGGTCTCTGGCACTGTGAGGCAGCAGTGCTAACCACTGGGCCACTGTGCCATCGATTACAGCTGAGCCAGCTGTTGATGCTTGACTGAGTTTCAGAAGCTCTACATTATCTCAGCAGGGGTTTTGAGTTCACCATTTAACAGGCAGATTTAAGAGGTTTCTAAAGGATTAACTGTCTTTGATGTGGTTAGTAATAGAAGCTTTTTTGTTTTTACAACATATTGACCACTTGCCCATTTTACCGCTGGGTTTTTTGAATGAGGCTTTCTTGCAGTATCAACTGCATAAGTGACAGCTCATTATCAGTCTGCGCTTTCTTTCATCTCCACGTGGGGCATGAAGTGAACCCAAGGTGGAAACTAGGTAAGTGCAGACTATAGACAAACTTATTTGTGCAGTGGTATCACTGGGTTTGGGCCACAACTGCAGAGAACAGAGATGACTCAGTCTACCTTAGCATTTGCCTGTCCCAAAAGTCACCTTCAAACTGCCTCCAAAGATAAAGAGGATGAGTCGAGAAATTTTACAACTCAGGTTTTCAACCTCAATGATGGAAATCTGACCCTAGGTCTTTGTAAGTGAGCTTAGAAAGCCAAGAACTTCATGATGACAATTTCAATTTCAAACTTGCTGCCGACATAAATTGGGGAAACAGAGAGTGATTACAAGAGGCAATCAGATGGCCAACGGAATGGAAGAAAATGTGCAGGGATAGCAGAGGATATGGGACCGACTGGATTACTCTACAGAGAGCTAGCATGGACGAGATGGGCAGGAAGGCCTCCTTCTGGGCTATAATTAAACCAGGAAACCAGTGTCCATTTCACTGGGCAGATAATTGCGAGGAACACGTTGGCTTCCATGCTTAAAATGCTCAATATGTGCTCCCAGTATGAATTATGCAAATGGAGCTCAATTGGAGAGAATATAAAATTGTTCTCAAGCATTAGTGAACAATCAAATAGAAACATATTCCTAGTTTGGACACTACAGGGATATAAAAGTCCATTGTGCAGACAAGCAAAATGACTGCCACAGGGTTGGGAGAGATTATTCCCTTTATTATAAAACTTTAAATCCAATCTTACTGAATTCATTTATCATGTCTCTGTGCTCTATCCCTGTACCATTCCCCCCACCCGCTCCCTCTTCGATGGATCATTAACATACCATTTACACATTCATTACTAATTCAGTGGTGTCAGAGGGGAAAATTCACAATCTGAGTAACACCAAACTGTACAATGGTAAATGTGCTGCTAATGGAAATAGATGGACAAGATCAGGCTCGCTCCATACTTAATGGAGCACTTCTTAAGGATGAAGTCTGCAATCCCGTTGACCCCAGTGGGAAACTTTATTCACCGAGAATATATGACAATAAATCACAAATCCAGCATTTAACACAGTGCAGCCCTCTTGGAGCAGAATCAGATGTGATCTCTGTCCAGTTCTAACTGCTGCAAGATAAGGGTTGAGATTCAACAGCTGAACATGGAATGGGTTCATTCTCGTTAATGAAAATTTCATGTGAGGAGAGAATGGATAACACCTCCAAAATGAACAACAGGCACAAACTTGATGGGCCGAATAGTCAATACATTACACTCGCCATTTTAATGTGTGTGTGTGTGTATACCATTATGGAGACAGATATTTAGCCGTGAACTAAATCAAAGGTCAGTACTCTGCTTTCATTATACTACCATCGGTTTTAGTCAATCTGTTAGCTCAAGCACTTTAAAACTTCAGGCGAGTTCTTGTGCCCTATTAGAAGTCATATCAGCTCTTCACTGAAGTTCTGTTGTGTATGCCAACACAGTCATAAATCCAGTCTCCATTAATTTATAATTTATCTCTTAATCTCTCGAGGCCAGTGAACAATTGCTGTGCTTTTAATAGCACTTAGCTCCAGACGATTGAGTCTGAGTACTTCATATCTTTTATTTGCTTTGCCTAAATCCAAGGAACACTTTTCAATATTCAGAGCTCAGGTACTGCTCTATCAGATAACCCACTTCAATCACTTGATGCATAACACCAAACAGTATACAAACAGCAAAGTATTAATCAACATTAGATTACAAACCTGTTCACTTCAAGATCACTCAGACTGAGATATGCAGAACCCATGAAATCATCTGTGGCCAAATCTCGGTCATAAACCTATTTGTGGAGAGAGATTTCTTTCATTATTATCTCCACTGAGAGTAAATGAACACATGGTTAAAAGGCAAATGCTTTCGGACCGTAACCTGTAGAATCAGTTTTATTATCATTACCTGAGTCAAAGGGAACTAATTCAGCACTCTAAACAGCCCACACCCTGAAATGTGTGTCCATTTCTGATAGTCGAGAAATCATGGAGACATTCAGACACCAGTCACAGTGAGAAGAGTCATGAGGCTAGTCAGTGGCGGTCAGAGTTTGAGTTACAAGCAAAGAATGGAGACACTAGAGATAACAAGGTGTAGAGCTGGATGAACACAGCAGGCCAAGCAGCATCAGAGGA